GTTAATATTCACAAATGCTCAAACTGATGCCCAAGAGAAACTTGACAGAGCCCCAACCGATTGTAAAATTCGTTTACCACCCTGGACAGCGTTTCTTCATTAATAGATCGTGCTTCCATTATTATTCTTGCTGTGAGATCCTGGATGTTTTCTGGGCGGTTAACAAATACTCTACTTTTTAGGTGGCCCCACAAAAAGTAGTCTAACGGCGTCAAGTCGGGTGATCTGGCAGGCCATTCAATAGCTCCCCGCCTCCCTATCCAACGATCTGGAAAAACTTCGTCCAAGTAATTTCGGACTTCAGCATTATAGTGAGGTGGTGCGCCATCTTGCTGAAACCAAATGTTCTCGTTGACAACATTTTCTTCGTCTTCCGGAGGAAACTCATGGGCAATGGCAGGTACTATCGACTCTCGCAGTAACTCCAGATAACGGTTTCCGTTTAGATTTCCTTCGATCACGAATGGCCCTATTAATTTGGTCCCGACAATGCCTGCCCAAACATTGACTTTTTGGGGATTTTGAGTATGGCATTCTTGAGCCCAATGAGGATTTTCAGGAGACCAATACCTATAGTTTTGTCTGTTCACGTGACCATGAAGACTAAATGAAGCCTCATCTGAAAATACAATTCTATTTTTGAACATTGGATCCAAAGTACACCGTTGCATCATGAGTTCACAGAATTCAATCCTGCGGTCAAAATCGTCCTCGTTCAATTCATGTATTAACTGAACCTTAAAAGGATGAAACTTCTCGGCTTTAAGGGCTTTGTGGACCGACATGTGACTTATCCCAAAGTCATTTCCAATCCTACGTGTCGATGTGTGATGATTTTCTTCAACGCTAAGAAGTATATTCAGTCTAGTTTCTTCAGTGAGTACAGATTTTGGCCTACCACTTCTTGGTTTACTTGCAACATCCCCCGTTTCAGCAAACTTATTACATATCTTAGATACTGTAGCTCGATTAATTTGGCGATCAGGGTACAAGTTGTTAAAAATATCACACGCTTCAAGTTGAGTCCGTTTTTTATCTCCATAGCCAACAATGACAAGTATTTCTATCTTCTGTTTTGTTGTTAACAACGCCATGTTAAATAAAAATAATAAAAGATGTACTTACGACTACTCCAAAGAAACTACCTACACAGACTGAAGGGGAATAAGGAAAAACTGATAAGATTGTTACCTGATTAGCCTGCAGTCTTAAGAAAGAGGATAGGAATTCCAAGTGAGTGCAACGTCCAAACCTGGAATCTCAATTATCAGATTTATTTACTAAGTGATAAGAGCTACATAAGTTTGTTTATTGCAGTTCGTCCTATTGTCCAAGTTTTTCTGATATAAACTATCAAATCTATTATAACTTTATTTTTGGTAAAAAAAAAATAAAAATGTGTTTCAGACGTAATTTACTTGTTCAACCCTAAGCACATTTTAAGCCGCCATATTGGACAGGGTGCTTAAAAAACATTTTTAGACACATTGTTAAATTGGTCTCTCAAATACCTTTAAAATGAGAGGTCACAAGATGGGGGTTGTCATTTGAAAATTTTTAGTTGCCCCCCCCTTACCATTAGGGGATTTTTTCAAATAAATAAAAAGGTGCCTAATTTTGGCTCAGTCCCACGAGTGGATAAGTTCTATCTATTAATGGCAAAAAAGATAAAATTGTGTTCCAGACCCCACCCGTTTAACCCCAAGCACATTTAAAGCCGCCATCTTGGACAGGATGCAAAAAAAATTTTTTCAGACACATCGTTAAATTTGTCTTCCAAATACCTTGAAAATGAGTGGTCACAAGATGGGGGTTGTCATTTGAAAATTTTTAGTTAACCCCAACCCCCACCTTACCCTTAAGGGGATTTTTTCAAAATTATGAAAAAGTGTCAAACATTTGTTCTTACTCAGTCCCGCAAATTAATTCCTTCTATCTACAAAGAGTAAAAAAGATAAGAAATGTGTGCCAAACCTAATTTACCCATTGAACCCTAAGTACATTTTAAACCGCCATCTTGGATAGGGTGCAAAAAAAAATTTTTTAGACACATCTTTGGATTTGTCTTCCAATGACCTTTAAAATGAGGCGTCCCAAGATGGGGGTTGTCATTTGAAAATTTTTAGTTACCCCCCACCCCCCCTTGCCCTTAAGGGAATTTTTATTTTCAAAATTTGTAAAAAGTGCCTAACATTTGTTATTAATCATTCCCGCAAATTGATTTCTTCTATCTACTATAGAAAAAAAGATAAAAAATGTGTGCCAGACTTAATTTACACCCTGTATGCATCATAATGGTTAATAATGCTAACCAAATAGAGTGTTATTTATACCAACTATAAAATACTACATAGTTCATAGAATGTTTTGTCAGTTAGAAGGTTTGAGTGTGTTTGGCGGTCATTAGATACTGCTATCTCATTTCCTGTAGATACTGTTGCATAGTCCTTAAATTACATCACTTTCTTGCTCTGTATTTGAACATGTTTTCTGTCAAATATTTATATACGTATCGGTAGTTAATTAAAAAACCTACATTTAAATTACCGATCACCAATAACATATTACTGTAGTACAACGATTATAGCTAAATCTTGTAGATTTATCTAGAAATTTGTATGCGCATAATAATATGTGAGATAGTATAGTCATCATAAAAACATCGTCTTTTACAGTCACGAAAACGTAGTCTCCCGCGCTCGCAAAAACGTCATCATTGCCTTCGGTGTCTGATTTTTGGAGACATGTTTTTTTATTGATTAAATTCTAGCTATTAGGCATTTTCAATAACCCTATATCCATCCTGAGTCTGGTAAAAGTATGTTTGTATCAGCCAATAACCCCAAAATTAAATACCAAATTCTATTTATTTATGTACCTTTTCTAAGCTACAATTAATAGTTTATTCCAGGTTTTAATAGGTGGGCTTTTAACCCGTCTACCATAATGGTTGTGAAGACTATTATAAACATGTTTTCTTATAGCAATCTCTACCCAAATGTTCCATATTGCTCCTAGCTATGAATGTAATGCAATACCTATTGTCTACGACTCTTTTAAGTTGACACTGTGTTGAAAAAAACTTAATGTTAAGTAATAGTTTTAATGGAGATGTCTTTTAGATTGACATAAAATAGATACACTTGAAGTCCTAAGCTCCTTTTACTGTTATCAAGATTCAACATACTGTGAATAAATAAAAAAAACCTGTTTTATGACACAAAAACTACTGATATTCAACTTATACTATAAATATGTAAAAACTGCTAATCAACTAAATTACCTAACACTCCAACATAGTGACCAAACTACATCCACGATACGTGTGGCTACGTAATAATTGTATGATAAGACCTCAATTACTCTAAGTCAAATATACCTTCCAGTTTAGTGTTTCTGGTTTGTACTTATGTTTGTTATGACTAATAGTATAATTACTGTGTATGCTTACTTTGTTATACATTTACAGACATATGATCTTTACCATACATTTAACACTAAAAACAATAGTGTAAATGTTTATCATTATTAGGGTGTAGTTATGCTTATTATAGTTCTTGATTCAACCTAACCCTACACTCATCTCTAAAAACCTACATTTGTATGGTTGCTATTTCAACATAATATCACTAGAAAAGTACAAAGTTACTGTGAAATACCATACTTTAATTATAACATTAAAGTGACAAGAACGCTGTACTGCTTTGAGTGCGTTTTGCATAGGTTTTATTTAGGCCGCTGTTTTCTAAGGAATCCCAGCATTTCCGCTCTCATGCTCTGCGATGAGAAAAATACGCTAAACTCTTCAGAACGATACAGTAAATAAATATCCTATCTCATAACAGAATTATTGCTTACATACTTGATTTCAGCATTAAGCTCTGTACTGAATTATGATGGAACTGCAGTTTATTAGACAACAAATGAGACACCAAGTGTAGGAGAATATACCTTTCAAAAACATAGAAAGTTTGATGGCGGAAAAAAGCAAAATCAATTTTAACAGTGTGATTAATTTTTCATAATTTGCAAATAATCCAATTCTGCGCTATTTTGTCAAAGTTACCTTAATAATTTCACTAAACATTTTAATCTAGTTACAGTACACGCAATAAAAGGACTGGTAATTATTTTTATCCAAACAAAAGATCAACTGCTTGTATTTACATTATGTCTTATAACCAGTGGTTTGCATTTTCCTGATTAAAGGTTGTTTGTTATACAAGAGCTAACACTTAAGGATGATATTTAAAATTATCAGTACTAGATAGATTTTTACTGTATGCAGTTTATATTCAAACAAGTTACTACAAAAAACGGTTAAGAAAATTATTTGTATTGCATAATACATATCATTTTGCCGTAATTTAAATGATTGTATGAATAATGCTTTACTTTTTTTAATTTTCTTAGCTATTAAAATGTTGATACATGTTGTCTAAACATACATTTTAACGTTAGTTTGTACGGAATCGGCCTAATGACAGCATTTAGAAATTAACCAAGGATTATAACAACCACCTACCTACGTTTGGTAAAAGCTACCTGTTCACTTTACATCTCATTTCAGTCATAACTTAATTGGTTACATAAGTATAAAGTTCAATTTAGTAATCAAGACCATTTATGTAATTCTCTTTTTTATAAGTTAATAAATTTATTTGTTTTTAATGTGTTAGAGTAAGGTACTATTTTTATCAAATGAGTAAAATAACGATTGGTTTTATGTTAAGCGATATTTTGAATACATGGACAGACTCTTTAGACATCTCCTTTTTTTTCTACAGGATAAGTGGTTTTTAAACTCCTTGGTACTATTATATATCAACGCTAAATAAAAGTGTTTGGACACCTAAAGCGAACCTGTAGATATATCAATGGTTTAAATGGTATTTTTAAGCTTTTTAGTTAAAGGCCAGTTGTTGGTGTTCAATGTTTTATCTATGAGGGTGATAATAATTAAGATGCATCTAAAGTCTACTATGGAATACAACACTTACCAGTCCTTCACCTCGTGAGCTGCTTAACTTCAGGTGTGCAACCATAGACCTCTGCCGTAGACCTCTGCCATAGACGTCTGCCGTAGACCTCTGCCGTAGACCTCTGCTGTTGACTCTGCTGTAGACCTCTGCCGTTGACGCTTGCTGACTCTGTCATAGAGTTTGCATCTGTCAAACACATAAAAGAGCATTAAACTCTAAGCTTGTTAATTGTAACAAAGACCGTTTCCTAAAAATCAATAGAATATATTTATCAATGACTGTGTTAACAAAAGAGCATAGCAACATTTTTAAACTTTTACCCATTTTTCCAAGTATCTAATGAAAAACCCTGTTAATTGTTTGTAGACATTATAGGCTGATTTCTAGATAAATCCTAAAGTACCCATGGACCTTTGAAAGAACCACACCCTTACAATTAAATTTAGAAACCTTGTGCAAAACTACCCATTAAGGCGGTGTAAAGTCGTGATTCCTTAAATTGCATATACAAAATTTTAAAAATACCTCAGTTGTACTCAACTTAATAAACTCAGGTGTCATTATTTGATTGTTTCACTGTATACTTGAAGCCCAATGGTAACAACAGTTAGTATCTAGACTACTATATGCTACAATCTTAGAATATTTACAACAATCAGCTGTTTGCATAATAGATCAAACCCAAGAAGTTAAATTTAATAATTTATTATTCACATTATTTTTTTTATTTTTTTTTTACTTTTAGAGGTACTATAGCCCAAATTTGTAAATGTGTAATCTAATTCATATGTTTAATTAATAACTTACCTATTGGATCCCAGATGTATTTCCCTCACCGGTGTTTCAAATAACTGGCCCAAAAAGAAAGCTAAACTTAAACGTTGACCAAGAATAGCTATTTATTAATGTATCCTCACTAGTAATGTTAAATGACCAAAATATCAGATAACCACAACACAGTTAATATATTTGTCAAAGACAAGATATAATTTAAGAAACAATACCAGTATCCAAGAAAGAAGACAGAACCTACACTGAATGCAGCCTGAGCATACCAAAACGTCTAAACTGAACTAACTACAACCGCAACAGGCTTCTCAAGCCTGAGAGGAAGGGTGGGGCGCGTTGTTATCTCCATAGTTTTTACAACACTGTAGAACAATATTCCTGATCAATTAAAACATAAATTTTCTAACTTTTATACGGATTTTTAATTAAGAAAATAAAAACATATTTGGGATCTACATAATTTACGATGTCATAGTACTAGATATATAAATGCTAAATTCCAATCAACATACATGTAAAACCATAGTACCTAGAAGTTGAGAATTTGCATACATATTCCTCTCATAGTATCAAAAATCAATTTTACACAATTAACAATGGGTCCTACTATGCGGGAGGTTAAGGTGTTAATATAAAAAGAATAATTTGGTTTTTTACATTATCGTAGATGAGAAGTATTTGAAAATTGCTGTAATGTATTTAATCAGAGTTGTTAGAATAAAATTAGGTTTACTAAGATAATTTTGACCATACACCAAAGTTGTATAGCATTGAAATCATAAAATAAACCTAGTCAGCTTCTAGAATGTGAGTAGAATTGAGTCTAGTTTTTTTTTCCTTATAATAGCTATTTATAAGGATAGGTATTTAGGATAGCTATTTATAAGGACCTATGGTATAGTTATGTTAATATTTTTTAGTTGTTTAAACCTTTCACACTATTAAAAGGTATTATTGAAGGTGAAGGTGTGTGTTGGTATAGACACTAAAGTTTTAACTGTGGATTCGTGTCATATAATATCGTTCACATCGAAGGAGCTTAAGTATTTATTCACTATCATCTACAACAAACTATAAAACTGTGTTCAAAGCAATTGTTGTAGGGAATTAGAGCTACTTTCCAAACCTACAGCTGTAACAGAGACCTTAATTCCTGGAATACTTGTATGACAAACAGTTTACCTGTGGCGAGTCGTGTGAGCTTTTACAACTATTCATATTTGTGTTTATTGTTAAGGTGGGTTATATGTTGGGTTTGGTGATAAACATGATCCCATATTTAATCAGGTCCTGTCTAGCAGGCATTTTGACATTTTAAAGTCAAAAAAAGAATAATGTGATTTATTTTACGGATATCTGATGCTTGTTTAAACCACTTTTAAAGTTTCCACTAGTTTAAATATATCATAACCATAGTAATCTCTAGAGATTGTACTAATAAATGTGAAAGTTTGTATGTTTTAAGTTCAATCACGCCCTGGTTAAATTGGGTTAAATTTTTGTATGATAATAGCTCACATTCCTGATTAACATATTTTTACCACAGAAATCCTTTCCCAAACGGCTCTATAGCCCCCATGTTGGACTTCAATATTCATGTTTAAAAGAAACTAGCAGTTACCCTGTTGCTGCGCTGAACAATTATTATTTTAATCGGTAATTAGTAAATTACGTCAAATAATAGAAATGTATACCAAAAACAGAAATAAAATATTTATTTTACGTGATTGTCTGTGGATAAAAAGATTTTTCAGGTATATTTCAGATTAGCACCTTTTACGTATCGGTCACTTGGAACTATGATTCAAAAAATAAAATATATTATTTACCGAAGATGTTTTCTCCTTTAAACTTACCACTGATATTTTTAGCTCCAATCAATTTTGGTGACATTTTTTAAATTGTTAGTGTAGTAACGTTGCACAGCTTCGGCGGGTTTAATTTTCACAAAATTGAAATTCCTTCTTTTAATGGTATTAATGTGGTGGGTTAAAAGACAAATTGAGAGGCATTTGAATACCTGAGGTAGCACCCACGGTTATTATTCACTTAATAATTTAGGTTAAGTTATATAAGTATGGAACAAATATTAAAGCAATTCCATCACTTTGATAAAGGTTTTTACATCTTTCTTATTATTTTTTTTAATATTGAGGAATTTAAGCTTTGTTGAGTGCACAAGTGTGCTGCGGTTGTACATAACCAGAAGTAAAATAGTTTTATACTGTGAGAACATTGTGATACGATTTCAAATCATGACTATTACAGAATGATGCAATTATTCAAACCTAAAAAACATCTAGTAAAAGTAAACATCTGCTTTAAATTATTTATAAACCTTGTAGTTACTAAAGTCCGACATTGGAGCCCTCTTGACAAACCTACACAAACCATCCTTAAATAATGCCTAAATAATTCATACATTCTGTTTTGGAATCCATAACATAGTTCCTATTTTATAGATTAAAAAGTTTTTCCAGCTGTTTCAACAATACAAGTTGGTTCTATCTATAGGTTCAGTTGTTTAAAAAGGTTTACCTACACAAATAATTACTTTTTACATTTATTACAACAGTTAATTTGAACTAAACAATAACAAAAAGCATTAAGAACATTGCTTGTTTAGGTGCTATAGTTTGGATATATTATTGTATAGCAGTATGTCTATCATGTCTTTCAACATATTGCTTAATAATACTAAGTGGGGGTATTTGCATCATAGCGGTTATCAAGCTTCCGGTAAGGACATCGTGTTATAATGTGTGTGTTTGGTCTCCACTCACTACAAAGCTGAATAATCATAAAAACTATTACATACATACCTTGGCAGAAGATATGAGTAGTCGGGGTCAACACTTTAACATGGGCTCTTATGGGGAATAGAAACCTAACATAAATAAACTGCTATTTTTATCCCTGCATAAATTTTCATCAGTAACTTTGAGTACATGTATAGTTGTTGCTATTTATTACCACAAGGATGACAATATACTTCTCCACATAAAAATGCTACATTTAGTTATATTTAAGTGGACATTAATTTTTCCACAGCCCCCATCAGAACTGAATTGTTTTACAGATTTGTTTCTGGTGGATAATTATTTTTGGAAAAGTGACTAAAATTTCTTCTACACAAGGAGACGAGATGTGACAGCATAGACAGATACAACACTCACCCTCATTATAGAAATATATATTATTATGTTAAACACTTCACAAAAGTATACTAAGCTTGTTATGATGGTGCAACAAACAAGATTTTCAGCTACATCAAAACGTTCTAACCCATAATATACACGACACATGTGTTCTATTAAATTATACCTAGGTACCGCACAGTTATTTGTTTTTTTAATATAATATCTACCAGCTCATAAGTACTGAAGATATAATTCATCAAATTCCTATAAAAGATTACTCAACCATTAGACATAGGTAATTTAACTATTGGCTTGTTACATGGTTATTTCTCTAAGTGTACCAGAAGTTAAAAGTTGAGGTAGTACATAAATATTGTTTTCATAAAAAAGTCAATAAAAGCTACTCCAGACATCACTCGCATATCTAAAGTTGGTGTAATCCATTATAGTGAATCTTCGGTTAGCTAGTTACAAGTAAGTTAGTATATACATTCATACTATAAAATAGTTTTGTCAGGTGATCTGCAGATGTTGTGTTATTCAATACATCAATAGAAATTGCCTAAGGCATATTTCATTGACACTAGCACTCCGGTATCACAAATATAAATTAATAAACTCGTTTTATAACACAGAGAGCAACTTCTTGATGACAAGTAACTTATCGCTGCACAGGATATGGTTAGATAAGGATATTTGAATCACAACATTTTCCTCGGTTTTGTTATCTTTCCTTTGGGATAACAGGATACATAGGTTACACATTATTTCTTGTGGATACCGCTAGCTAGCTATTTCCATTCATTTAAACTCCATTAGTTAGAGGCTATCTTGCCCCAGGCATGAGACATGAGGCCACTTTTTACCCATAATCGTTACCTCATCCATAATAACATAAGCTATTAGTTGCGATCATAGCTCAATAGCTAAGACAATTTGACCATTACCTTAAATATTAAGGTTTGATACCCGATCAAGGTACACACTTCTATTCATAATTTAATATTTAATTTACGTACATAGGTATGATTATGTTACTAAAGCAGATAACAGCCCCTAGGTAATATCATTTGGCGGAAGGGTTACATTATCAGATGATAACTCCTATGTACTTAAATAAGGTTATAGCAGAAACCGTTAGCGGGAAAACAGACAACATACATACAAAGTACATAGAGTGAGAATATGTTAATTGCTGGAATGCATATACAATACAAGGTCATGAAAGTCATATAACCAACTAGGAATCGAACCCATAAACCTCTCACTACAAGAAAAAAACCCAAAATAACTCATTTAACATATGATATTTAGTAGCCTTTAATGGTAAAGTTAAGCCTTCTTTCAGCTGTTTTATATTTATTATACACTACAGCATGCCAACCTCCAATGCTACTACAGATTTGGTATAATAGTCTTTTATGCTCAATGGTAAGGTTTAAACATTATACACTATATAAAGTGTTTTTTTTACAAATCCTACTGGGATAGGTTTGAACCCATGAACCTCTAAACCAGGTGACGTCACATGATTAGCTAATAAACAGCTGTGATTAGATTACATCCAGGATTGAACCCATAAACCTCTAATAACATAATTTGTGATTGATTAGATTCGAACCCGTGAACCTCTAGCATAGGTTAGGATTGAATAACCGGAAATGATATATTTTATGTTAGGTTGGATTCGAACCTGTGAACCTCTAGCATAGGTTACGATTGAACCCATAAATCTCCAAATGATAGGTAAGGATTGAACCCATAGACCTCCAAATGATAGGCTAAGATTAAACCTCCAATATTTACACACCCTGTAAGTTGACACACTCTATAAGTTAAGGTGTCATTTACCGATATAAAACCTATACCCATAACACTGCTGTTGTAGCTCAAATAGTAACAACTCCGACTACCATTCAAAAGAACCGAGTTCGAAACCCGGCCAAGCCAACACTTTTTATCCATAATTTAATATTTAATTTAATAATTTATTTAATACAAACACCTACTGACGTCAGC